TCCCGGCTGCACAACATCTCTTCATATCTCCGACATTCCTTCCATTCCCGGCTCTACTCCATCGATGAAACAGGTGCCTGACCGAATGATTGAATTTCATACAGAATATCTTTCCTTAGAATTGCCAAACACAGAAGGAATCCACACCTATCTCATGCAGAAAATAGTACTAGAATCAGAAATTCGGAGTTCAGCTGATTCAATCTGAGCCCAGTTCAACGTCGAATAATCAGAATCTAACTTCTGCTTCCTTGAATCCTTTTCTGGAAGACAGTGATTGATTACTCAACTGAGCCAGAAACACAAGAATTCCAAAACCGACTGGAGGAAATCACCTCCAATTCAAACTACTTACATCACAAATCAGAAAATCATTCATGAACGTGAGCTTGAATACCTGAATTAACTCCAGAAAAGATTGTCATATGCTCAGCAGCATAATGCTAGCACATTAGCCTTACCATCTGATACTGAATCGTCAGATCGTAGCCTGATCAAACACCAAGCCACCTTCTGCTCAAATTGCAATTTTTAGGTGAAGAATGTACTTTCAAACTTTGATCGTGTAAGATCTCACATCTGACCGCATACAATATACTACAACATCTTCAAACCAAAAAACAACCAGCTAAATTCCGAATCAGTGTCAGGGGTAATCTTTCCATTGTGGTTTTAAACTGTCTCGATGGCTCATAAGCAATTACCTAGCCATGCTTGAATGCAACATCCCAAACCTTCAGTGAAGTCATCACTCAACACCGTAAATCCTCCTCCGTAACCTGACGAGAAGTGTACTAACACTGAGCGAATCAGCACAATCCTTCAATGTCTAAAACTACCTCACCACTCTAGGGTCCATCTCTCTCTCTCTCTCTCTCTCTCTCTCTCTCTCCACCTTCGCTTGCTCTTTATCTCCTACCTCTCTCTCTCTCTCTTTCTCTCTATCTCTTTCCCTCTCTCTCTCTCTCTCTCTCTCTCTCTCTCTCTCTCTCTCTCTCTCTCTCTCTCTCCCTCTCCCTCTCTCTCTCCCTCTTTCTATCTCATCAAGGAGGAGTCTGGTGGCAAGATAAATCTCTATATTCCCGTCATTGCTTGGCTCCCCTCTCCATGAGAAATTAGAGGTTTATTGATAATTTTCTGAGAGTCGAATGATCAGTAAATCTAAGGCAGATGAAGTGTAATTTTCGAGTGGGTTGAATGGACTGTTGATGTGGATTTACTTCATCATGGATCCTTTCCTGGGCATTTGAATGTCTTAATGATATCAAAATTTGATGATCTTGAGCACATTGGATTTGTCTCGATGAGCCGCTTGATTCGATTATATGCATGTTGTATTTAGAATTTGTTTGGTATCCTATTTATGGTTTGATCTTTTTAAATGCAATTTGGGTCTTCAATTTGGACCCATTTGGGCTCGAATTGAGTCAAATTTTGTGTTGTTGGGTTTGTATTTCTGAGACGTTAAATTTGACTTTAAGTTTGCTGAAATTAAGTTTAGATAATCCCAAATTTAATGCTGAAAGTTTCCAACATGATTTTGCCTCAAAATTCTTGCCCGATCAAGATAAATTTTTAATGATATATCAAAGGTGTCAATAAATGATTAGATTTAACAATTAAAATGGATTATAGTGTAGTGATTGGATCAGACAGGTTGCCAGGAGTTACATTAGGATCCACATTTTTTTGTTTTTTTTATTGAGTAAGATTTTGAATTGATTAAGTTCAAATCGATTCAAGTTTATATGTAAATCATGTATTTTATTTATAATAGTAAAATACAAACTATTTAAGGCTTAATGTCTGGTTTTGTGTGAATTGTTTTTATTTGTGTAATTTAAAAAATTATTTCTTTTTAAATCAAAAATTTTTGTTTTATTTTCCAAATATCATATTTTTTAGGGAGCATAATTTTTTTGGAAGTAAAATTTTTTAATTATAATAAATATTTTTTCAATTAATTAATTTTTTTTTTGCTCTTTAAATTAAATTAATTAAATTAAGATGGCAGAGTGTCCTGTACGTTATTAATCTCGGAGGACCCTAATGATCTCTTGCAAAATGGATAGATGAGATAGAAAGAACCCTTTTAACCAACAATATAAAAAAATTACATTAAGTAATTGAATTTATAAAATTCATGAAGCAATAGCTCAGAAGTTAAAGGAGGAGATAGAAACCAGTGGTGGTAACCAATGAAGGAAGTGCGGAACCATTTAATTGAGGAGAGAGCGGAACCATTTAATCTCGGTCCTATCGCTGAAGAAAAAGATGACGCCAATGTCTTTTTTTTTTGAATAAATGCCAATAGCAATAATTTTATTATTTCCATCCGAGAATGTTGAATATTCTCAGCATTCTTATCTTGCCGAAGAAGACTCGTATCCTTCGTCGAACCTTTGTCTTCTGAAGATGTTCCACGATCCTCCATCAGTTGATCGCCGGCGAAGAGCCGGCAATCTTCCGCCTTCAGCTGAATTTCCACCGATTCCGCTACCTTAGAATTTGAATTTCCACCGATCCCGCTCCGCTCCTAGTACCAACGAGAAGGATTAGTTTCTAATTCAATTATGACAATGTCTGAGGTACCACAAAAATGAGCAATATTTCAATGTTCATGGAAGAGGAGGTTGCTAATGTGTGTGCCTCAGCGGAGGAGGATGCTGATGGCTTTATTAGGATGAACGATGAATTGCCGTGTTCAATTTTCACTGTTGGTGATGAGAGGAATTCGCATGATGAAGAGAGTTTGTCATTATCTTCTCGTTCTTATTTGTCAGAGAGTTTCTTGTCCCACATTGATTCCCGATGGAGTGATACCAGCTCTTTTGGTCCGAAGAAGGTAAGCCCTCTGTATATATTCTTTTCTCCATTCTATTGAGGTATGGATGTGCTAAGAATTCGTAGGATCCAATGATCGAGTCTTTTGTCAAAGATCTTCATTATTCGCCCTTCTTTTCTAAGTGCATCGTATTGTATTGGTGACTGGTTGACAACAAATGTATAACTAAAATCTTTGTTTTATGGTATTATATGTTTAGCTTATTAATCAGCTACCTATCCATCACCGTATTATTGGAGAAACATCATTTTGTAATCATATTTCCTCAGCTTTGACCTATTCGATGTTTATGGTAATTCTGGCATAATAAACAAGCAAATTTTCTGCATATAAATTAAGATATATGTAATTGGAGCATTACTAGTTGACTTTCATAGTTGTTTTTTTTTTTTCTTCGGGTTTTTTATTTTATGAATTCTTTCGGACATATGACAACTACAATTGGAAACTTGTAACACTCAAGTGCAAAAAAAAGGGTAATTTATCTTTGTTTGTACATTTTCTGTGAATTTCCCACTGCAAACATTTAACCAAATCAGACATGAGCTCTAGTTGAAGCTTTTAAAATAAAGAAGTCTTTGCCCATGCATAGTTTACTAAACAGTTTTGATGTTGCTTTCCTCATTCTTTCTATTATGAGTATCATCTTACCATTATTTTTTATTTGGCCCAATAACTGACATTTTCTTGGCATTTATCAATTAATTTGATATATGCATACAACTTTAGAGACTTTCTCATGCAGATTCTAATATATATACTTGGATGAATCCCTTAATTGGATTTGATTAGCAATGCGTGAAAAAAAATCTAGGACTCTTTTTCTAACTGTGATATATGTATGCTTTATTTTACTGATGTGATAGTATATTATTGATTCATTGAAAAATTAATCTTATATCAGAAGATTCAAGCTTGGTGCCGACTTTCAAATGGAGAATGGATGTTAGGGAGGATACTATCAACTTCAGGGGCAGTGTCAATTATTTATCTTCCAAAGGGGAAAGTAATCTTTCAATGTTTTGGTTGAGGAGTGCATATTAATTGTTTACTTATAAACGATCTTTAGCATAGCCTAAAACTTCTTCTCATGTATTAAAGTTGAAAATAGAGAGTATTTTTCCCTCAAACATTGAAATACTTGATGGGGTACATGATATGATGCAACTTAGTTATATAAATGAACCATCGGTACTCTACAACTTACAATACAAATATGATCGAGACATGATTTATGTGGGTATCTTTTTCTACTTCTATTTTTCCTTCACTTTTCTTTCTTTTGGTAGGATATTTTCATGGGTATTGTGTAATTGGTTTTTTTTTTGCCATAGCAAGCTTTTTTTATTATGTATTCGTATAAATAGATTAAGGTCAATAACATTAGTTATTTGTGTCAAATATGTTGATTACCTTTTTTGGCAATGCAATTTAATTTAAATTGGAGCTTATCATTTTTTGTCCACTACAAGCTTGTCTATCTTTGTCCACTTGTTGTGAATTAGATGCCTAAAATGCGCTAAGCATGGCCTTCTTTTGTAATGGTGAGAGTGGAGCGGGCAAAACTAAAACAGTAAAGATTGCAATGCAATATTTGGCTACTCTTGGAGGAGTTACTGTGATGGAATATGAAATTTTACAAACAAATCCAATTCTTGAGGCCTTATGGAATGCAAAATAACAACAAATGATAACTCTAGTCGCATTGTAAGCTTCTGTATTCTTCCTAATATTTTAAGAAATGATGAAAGATGTGTTTGTCTTCATCACTAAGCAACTTAAAAATCACCTTTTTTCAACTTCTTCTTGAAGGCTGCATATTTCTCATTGGATATGCTGTATTATTATTGTTATTTCATCATTGACAAAATTTTCTGTACACTCCTGCAAGGAAAGTTAATTGAAATTCGTTTCAGTCCAAGTGGAAAGATTTCTGGTGCAAAGATTCAAACTTGCAAGAATTTTTTTAATCAGATAACGTGTTTCCCCAAATATTTTCTTATGGTAGACTAAACTTTGTGTGTATTTCATTTTGTGCCTAAGTATTGTGTACTACTTGGGCTAGTTTTACTTGAGAAGGTACATTCTTTTTCCTAAATATTTTTTTTAAAAATTTTATATCTAGAAGTTACATAATTATTTGCATGTTATGCAGTCAACGGTTGTCCAATATGCACCTGGTGAAAGGTTTTATCATATTTTTTATCAACTTTGTACTGGTGCTTCAAAATCTCTTAAAGGTATGCCACTTTATTCTAGCATTTTTTTAAAATGAATTATATTACTTTCTTAATCCAACTCTGTATTGCCAGCTTTATAATTTTAAGTTTATTCATTGCTGTTATGGATTATCTACTTAAGCAGTGATCCTATCAAAATACCTTAGAGTTATTTTTGTATTCTCTTTTTTGTCATTCAATCCTATCTGAAATTGCATTTGTGTCAATCTCAATTTAGCTTACTTTTGAAGAAATTAACAAATATACCATGGAACCTGCCTTGATGGTGTTTATCCATCTTATTGACGAAACCCTCTCGACTTTATGCGAACATTTTTCTCAAGTTGAGCTAATTCAAGGGAAAAAAAGGAAAAAGAAAGAGCTACTTCACATGTTGATTGGCAGGGCACTGGAACACTTTCTCCTCTCCTCTCCTGCATAAGTTCTGGTACAATATGAATAAACTTTTGGATTTAGAGCATACAACACGTTTTCCTAACTTAATATTGGTATTGAAGCCCCTCATATTTTTTTTTTAAAGAAGTTGCTATAATCATTTATGTTCTGTTGAACTATTGCTAAGTTTCTAACTTCTTTGGAATCTATTTAATACAATATAATTTGCAAATTATGCAATTCCGATAATGAAGGCTCTCTCTATTCACATTATGAGAGATTACCCCTTTAACTATTTTCTATTATAAAATATTTATTCTCTCATTTTAATTCTATAGAGTTGAATTTTAATTAGAGCCGCCCTTTGGTAGCTTTGCCTACCAACATCATATTACTGTTTCATCTTTGAGTGCGCACGTCTGATCCTACATCTTGGCTAATGACTATTTCTCATTGGATATTGACCTGCCTTTTCCTATACAATCATTTCACACAGTCTTGTTTAGTATCTAACCCATCTTTCAATCATTCATTTTTAGCATGCTTAATTTGTTTGTTGTTCAATGCTCATTTTAATTTCAAAGTAGTTGATCTTGATTTGTCCTATGAATGCTTCCAATGTGGAGATTGTTACTAGTTTTATAGGGTTGTTGTTGTTATGATGGAAGGTGTTGGGTTAGTTGAAGGTTAAGAAGGGTATTTGGCTATAGTTTTGTGGATGGTTGTATTTTACCAATCGTGGGTAATTGCTAGAGTCTCCTTAGTTTAAATTATTTTCAACCTATAGCTTAAGCATATGGGTGAGGGCCAATCTATGTTTTAACAACCTGCACATAGTTTGAATCATAGATTTATCATTTTTGCTCTATTTGGTGTTTATATTATCCTCATTCATGATGTGGGATTCTATATGTTAATTTAGGTTACTATATCTTAGTGATGATCAAGCAAAAATAAGATCTTAAGAACTGAGGGAGGGCCTAGTTATAGATCCCAATGTAATTTATGCTAATCCTAAAATAATTGTTCTGCTATGGGCTGTGGGCTCCAAAAATTTGGCCCCGGCCTCCACTCGCTTTTCTTATTCGGTGAGGGAGTTTTAACGGATATGTTATGAGGTAAATTTTGGAAGGCAGATGGGTTTGTAGATAAGACACTACCCAGAGATTTCGCCCTCATTTGGGAGGACTTTATGATCTGAGTTCTGGTTTCCTATAGGCGCAAGCCCCTATAATTAATTACCCCTCCCGATAACGAGAGAGAACTTTCGATTAAGGCTAGTCGTCGATCAGATACGTATAGATACGTGTTATCTGGCATGTAGTAGCAGCAATGAGTTTGGATTTAGAAATTGAGTTTGGATTTGGATATTTTGAAATGTTTGAAAAGTTTGATATTTAAAATAGGAAATTTCACCATCTAGCACTTAAAGCGGATGGTGGGGGAATGGATGATAGACCCGATCAAGATCCCATGGTTCCGTCATCCCGGGCCATCGTGGTCCCTAGTCTACTTAGTCAGAGGAGGTAGTCGACCCAACCTGACAGAAGGATCCTTGTCGGCAGCCATGGGTTGCTTCGTACAAGGGAACCTTATAGACCGAGGTTGAATGTTTGTCTAAGGGGACAAATTTAAATCCACCTTAGCTAACAGAGGGCTTTGTGCCCTATCGATCATATCCTATTGATTCATACGTCAAGGATTTAATGCCAATAAGGAGCGTATTGGCGCTGGCCATAACCGTAACCCCACTTAAACATCTCATATCCACCTTCAAATCTAAAAGGCCCATTAAAGCCTTTAAAAAGCCCATACCTTAAATCCAACAGCAAAAAAAAAAGGGGGACTGAGCTTCTTTTCTTGTATATGATTATTCTTTCTTCTCTTATTAGATGTCTTAATTATTAACTATTATTATTATTATTAGCTTATACATTGTATTAGTTATTTAATATTATTTTTGTCATGACTGTATATATGTATGTATGTTACGAGAAAGCAAAAAAAAATGAAATGATGAAAGGAGCTTTAAAAAAAAAAAGAAAGTGAGAAAGGAAGGGAGGAGATAAAAAAAAAATGAAATGCAAAATCATTCTCTTACCTCGATCCTCATACCGTCGACCCCAAACAAGCCAGGTATAAAAACTCCTAAACACCCTAAACTCCGTGAACCTGATTTTCATCGCATAACGTCGAGACAAAACGATCACCTATATCACCGCTTTTCTAGCCGTAGGTGGAGGGAGTGCGTCACGAACGTTTGCGACGAAGCGGGTAATCACCCAAATTCCTTCTTCGAAGTTCGTATCCCTTGGAAAAACCCGCCTATACACGCTTTTCTTTAGGTGGTGGGAGGGACCGGTGCGGATGCGGCACATGACGAAGCAGGGGAATACCCATAAGTATCCCGCTTGCGGGGAAACAACTGCTGCTCTTGCAAATACTTTCAAAAAATAGTATTTTCTTGCAAAATGTTTTCCAAACAAAGACCCATACCGCTTTTCTTAGCGTGGTGAGGGATCAAAAATTTAACACGCCGCGGTGATCCTCGAAGAGGGCACCTACCAATAAACGCTTTTCTTAGCGTGGTGGGAAAGGCCCAGTTTTCGCGTGTTTTCCCTAAACGGGGGGAGACGCCGGAAGGCTGCGAAATTTCGGTGAACGTAATGCTATATTTGGTCTCATTGAAACTCAAGAGAACAGTTTGGGACCTGACTTGATTGGCCTCGAATACATGAAGAACGACGAAAAAGACTTGTACCATTGGACTTTTGAAAGAATTAATGACTTAATGCATTAATGAATTCAATAAAAAAGAATTGAACTAAAATCAAGCTTGTGATCAAATTGTGGAATTTGAACTT